GCGACGGCATCTTTCAACTTTCATCCCGGCAACCGGGCCAGCCCACCTGTGAGTGTTTATATGGAGAAATTTTCATCCCGGTAAGCGAGATCTCGCCTCTTTCAAGCGAGATCTCGGCAACCGGGCCAGCCCGCTTGCACGGTAATTTTTACTATAAAAAATAACTACACAGCTAGATCTTGATCTCGATCAACCAGCTTACCTGGTTGTCTCGCTAAGCTGGCCAGCCCGGCTCCCATATAAGACGCATAATAGCGCGAAAATTTCCTGGGACCAATGGTCCCATGGTGGTCCGCTAATTTTTTCCACCCATGTTATAAGTCTTGTTCCTATTTCTAGGTATGTGATTGGTTTAGATTCCCCCGGTGATGTGGCGTGGGACTGTCTTATGAACCAACACAAATGGCTGCTAGGATTGCTGGACAACTGCCGTTTTGACCACCTTGGCAAAAGTACGTTCATATGAATAAAAATCTAACATATTGTAGCAAGTCTGCCAACAAGCCGTCAATAAGTTGTGTTCGCACTGCTTGTCCCAACAAGTATGGAACAACTTGTTAACAGTTGTTGTAACAACCTTGTTGATATTATCAGACTTGTTGCAAGGTTGTTCCAACAAGTCCGATATAGTCATGATATCACCATATTGTTACAACCTTGTGTTATCAACCTTGTAACATTCGTGTTATATCATGACCGTATCCGACTTGTTAGAACAACCTTGTAACAAGTCTGATAATGCCATCAAGCTTGTTATAAGTTGTTGACAGCTTGTTCCAACAACTGGGAACTGCCTTGTTTATCCTCACTACATACACTACCACAGACCGTTCGTGTTCATATGAATGATTCATATTGTATATTTTCCCAGAATTTTAAAATGAATCTCAACTGTCATTTTCAAATGTCCATGTTTTAGTAGAATTGTCATCACCTCAAACCACCATGTCATTCATGCCATGCAAGAAATAGTTATTTTCATTTAGAAACCCACGGTCCTGGAGCGTTATCCGTACCAGTTTATCACAGCCCTAGGAGGGAGTCGTTGGACAATTATGGAGGTAACGCATGATAGTCACAGTATGAACATGTTTTCCTTGTAAAATAGTTTATTTAGTTCAGGACCTTTCTGAAAATCACTTTGTGAGAAAGCTTCCTGAAATTAAATATTAATTTAAAAAAATGTATTCATTATTGCTGCTAAACAACAAACTTTATAAAACATACAGGACAATTTTTCAAAGTTATCTTTTTGCGACAGGTTGGGGTTCTAAAGGTCATGCGCCTTTACAGGGTGTAATCTTTGTGGAAGAACTGTCAGACATATTGGCCGAGAGCTTGCCTGATTTGTGGAAGCTTGGGAACGAGTATGTTAGTGGAAGTCTCTTTCATAAGGTGTGTTATTTTGGTAAACATCGTTTGTTGTTTTTTATATCGAGCTGAATCACGAAGTATGCATCTCAACCGAAAACTTAAGGATGGTTTACACTATCAACGTTTTACTGTAGGTAAATTACAAGTTTGGAAGGGAACTGAGGGAACTGACTCATTGACTCATTACAAATAGACTCCATGCTGACAACATCGTTGCATTCACAGAATTTCTGCGATTACTGCTGTCCCAAACTTTGTGTTTTATCATAACAAAATCTTGATTTTTACTTTGCTTCACGCATAATCTTGTTCGATATTCTTTACAGGAAAATATGGATCCAGAGAAACCATCGTTTGTGCCTGCTGATGAACGAAAACTTGAGTTCCAGGTAATTTATGTACTATGATACTGAGTTAACCAATTTACAGTACTGTCTTTCGTGTAACTCTCTGATACAGATACTTCTCTAATGCGGACACCTCTCTAATATGGGCACCTCTCTAATACGAACACTTCTCTAATATGAACACCTCTCTAATATGAACACCTCTCTAATATGAACACTTCTCTAATATGAACACCTCTCTAATACAAACACCTCTCTAATACAAACACCTTTCTAATACGGACAGCTCTCTAATACAAACAGCTCTCTAATACGAACACCTCGCTTTGCAATAATCGGCCGACTGTGCAATAATCGGGCGACTACGGCTTATTTCGAACTGGCCAATTAATTATTTTTCGATTAATCGGCTCATCTCTACTCCATTTGGAAACCGTCAAGTTTTCTGTTTCCAGGCAATGGTGAGTGAGATCACAGGAAGATACTCGGGTTTTATTGAAGAAGTATTCGTGGGAGTTTATAAACGTGAGCCAGAGAAGAAAACACAGTGGAATTGTCGCCGTGAAGAAATCACACCTTGGTTGCCAAAATGTGTCAAATTTGTAAGGTACACACGTAAAAACGCACAAATTGTTACAGATCTTCAAGTTGTAACAAGGTTGTTGTCAAACCGATATCAGGATGTGTTCGCACTGCTTGTTCCCAGTTGTCGTGACAAGTTTGGGACAAGTTGTTATCACCTTGTTACAAGGTTGATGACGGTAACAGACTTGTTACAAATTGTTCCAACATGACTGATACAGGCTGTTCGTAACAAGTTGGAACTGAGCTTGTTGTCATCAACCTGTTAACAACTTGTAACGTGCAGACGATGTCAGACTTGTTGGAACAACTTGTTGCGAGTCATTTGGCCTCATCAATCTTGTTACTTATTCAACCAACTTATTTCAGACTTGTCAACAACTGGGAACAAGCAGTGCAAACACATCTTGCTGACAAACTGTGAAATATTTACGTGCGTAAAGATGCTGGGTTGAAAATTATACACGCAATCGGACGCAATGAATTTTTTAATTTGATAGTAAATTTAAACATGACATTAAATTTTTCAAAATTTCAAATGCATATTTCATTTCAAAATCAAATTTCATTTTAAATTCGATTGCAAATTGTTGTACAGTATGCATGTACATGGGTCTGTGGTTCACTTTTCTCCGACGAGAAAGATGCGAGGGGCGCATCTCCCTTACACCACCAAAAATACTGTAAAAATGTACTAGTTGATCTTGACTTTTCAGTGGTTGGCAGTGCTAACTTTCTCTGGGTGGGGCCACACCCCACCCAGCACCCCACTGAATGACGTTACGACAAGTTGGATCGTAGTAAAGAAAGAGATAGCAAATGATTTATCTTTCTACAGGCGTTGTTATAGTACATTAAAAACTCAATGTGGCAAAAGCTCTGTTGAAGCACTGAAGTCAGTCCAGCTATCATTAGAAGATCTGCAGTTTTTATCAACTCGATGCCTCATGGAGAACGCTGTAGAAGGTAAGCTATATTCCGATTTCAGGCTCTGCTAAATGTTAATGATGAATTTTGTCGGGTGTTCGTGTCCTCAGATGATGTTTACTGCGTATTTTTTTTTAATATCATCAGTGTAGAGGAGAATATCGCCCGTACAAAACGCAAACGTGATTGTTTCTGTTAATTTTTCTCAGAAATCAGGAATCTTTATCAGAATGAAGATTGGTCGAAGGAAACTATTAGCAATGGATGTGTCATAACGATTTTGGTAAAGATGAGCCAACAATCTTGAAATATCTTTGGCTTCACTTCATTATAACGTATCAGGTCTATGGCTAACTGTACAATAAACTAACTTTCATCTTTCCTCGCAGCCCATAACGTTTGAGACGATAGCTATTGATATACTTCATCTACTTAAAGATGTCATTGGCGAAGCAACGTTTGGAGGGGAAAAGGTATCTAGACGGAAATGTCGAGTGTGAATTTTATACATTTATATATTGAAATAGTTGCTATCGGTGAATAGCTTTGACAATTTAAGTATTGAAAGAAAAATCTCATTGGATTAGTGCTGAAGATTCATTTTGTATTTTTAAGGGCGATCAGATTCAGAAAGAAATCAACGATCTTTTTTACAAGATGTTGCAGGTATTCTTGACTTAGGTTTACTAAACTAACTTTAATATAGGTTTTAGATTAGCTTCCTCCGCAGGCAACTCACTGAGGAATCGGGTGGTGAGAAAAAGTTGTTTTTTTCAAAATCCATTCGCAGGCTAAAACCCATAGAGGCCTGCGGAGGAGGCTAGTTTTAGATAGCTATGTCAGTTCCAAACGCTTCTGACCAGAGGTGGAAAAAATATTTTACTTTCTGGGACCGCAAGAGAAAATTTTCTGCAAACAATCAAGTAAATTGACACTCGGTGTAACTGTGTGATGTTGTCAAACTGGATGCCATGCTATATTTTAACAGAAAAATTTATTTCATTTCACTGAGAATCTTAATAGTACTTTTATAGGAACTCAAAACATTTTCTGGGGCAGAACATTCGTAACTCATCTATTCGTTCATATGCATTAGAAAAATTAAATCGCACTAGAAATAATTAATAATGTAAACGGGTCTTAAACTATCCTAACTTTATATCTACCATTTTACTAAATTTTAGGCAGTAATTGAAAGTCTCGAGCACCTTGGGTTTCCTTCTGATGAAGAATTGGACAAAATATCAGTGTAAATGAACTATAAGATTTTCTTTAATCAATACTATGAATTTATTCAAACACTCATGCATGCCAGGTTTTCGCACTCTAGGAAAAAAACCGTAAACCGTTTACCCAAAGCAAACCCAAAAATTGACGCGTATAAAAATATCGCTTTCTTTCTTTACAGATCAAGTCGACATCATTATGGAAGCTTTGATTCCAAAGAAGACGTTCATTCTATGACCTCAATTAACTCGCCTGCCAGGGTAATTGTTTCGTGACTTATTTACCCCAGTACATGCATCGCGCCATCGCAATAAAAGATGACCACATATTTTTTGTTTGTTTTAGGACGAGCGTTTTCTGATAGTTCTCAGCTGTTGCTCATACCTTCGTGATAGTGTCCTTCCAAAAATTGTTTCAAATTATCAAAGCAACGGTCATGCTGGCCTTGAAAATTTATTACCAGTAAGTATTTTGGTCTAAATTTACATGAAAACGAAAAGTATATGTTACTATTTGAAACTACACTAGCTGGATAGCTTTATCCGTTTCCAGTAAGGATCATCTCTGATTGATCCAGTGTTGCTACTGGAGGAAACCTAAACTAAACTAAATAAACTAAACTGAAACTAAGCCGTGCAAAAAATACCGTGGGTGTTGCAGCATATGCTCAATGATTCAACATGTTTTCGACAAAAATGTCGAAATGTATGCAGCAGATAAAGTACACCGCACCTTACAACTGTCGGGGTATTCAAGAAATATTACAAAGCTCGCAAGTTGCTGTTTAGAGAAAATATTATCATATAGCTTGTCCATATGGCCGTCTATTGAAAAATGGCCGTCTGAATTCAAAAGTGGATGGCTTAAAAAACCCGCACAAGTTGTAGCAAACCAGCAACAGACTTGTAGCATTGCTGTTCTGACAACTTGTCATCTGCAGGATATGCGTTCGCACTGATTGTTCCCAGTTTGTTGACAAGTTGTCAACGGCTTGTTGACAACGTGCTACAAGGTTGTTGAACTTAACAGTCTTGTTACAGTACAAGTTGTTCCAACAACTTGTTATCGCCCTGCAATAGACCTTTCCCCTTATAACCAAAATTTTGATCTAGGCAAGTCTAGACAAATATTTCATCACAGCTTGGAAGAGCATCACAAAATTAGTAATATTCCAAAGTTCCGTTGCGAAATGTTGTAAAATGAGGAAAATAGAGCCTTGCGAAGTTTGCAATTTTCAGTCATTTTTCATTACAAACGGGAAATTGCAGCCCCAACACCCGAATCGGATGTCAATTTCCCGTTTGTAATACAAAATGACTGAAAAACGGCAAACTTCGCAAGGCTATATTATCCGCATTTTACAAGATTTTGCATCAAAACTTTGGAATATTACTAATTTTGTGATGCTCTTTCAAGCTGTGATGAAATTTTTGTCTAGATCAAAATTTTAGTTATAAGGGGAAAGGTCCATTCAACAATTTGTCAACAAGTTGTGAGTGACAACCTTGTAACAACTTGATAAAATAACAGCATTGTTACAACTTGTTGACAAGCTTGCGAACACATCTTGTTAACAAGTTGTGAGAGATTTTTACGTGTGTACAGCCAACATACGCTTATGGCTTGTTCGTTCTTGTCTTTATAGGCATTCAAAAGTGAAATCATGACGCTAGAAGATCGGATATTTAACGCGTATGTTGAGTTAAAAAGTGGACCATTAGTAAGCAGAATTAAGACTGGAATGTTTGCTGGTGATTTTAGTTGGAGTCGATGTCTACAACCTACTGATGCTCGCGATTATATCAAGATTGTCATACTTGAACTGGTCATAATACATGCCCAGGTTGGTTTCTGTAATTTTGAACGCTTTCTTTGAACAAAGTGACTATATGACCGGCAGCCGGTCACGGTTTATCAAATACTAAATGGCCGGCAGTCTAGTGACTATAGTTGAATATAAAAACTTTTGTTTGCGTTAATTTTTACCGAGCTTGCCGTTAGCTCATACCAGGGCGCTGCGTGCGGAAAGTTAAACGCAGTCGGGGTCGGGATGTGTTTTGTCTGACTTAGCATTGTGTTTTCTTAAAATTTTTTAAACTGCTTTTTTTTCCGACTTTTCTAACTCTCAAAAGGTTAGGGTTAGGGGTTAGGGTTAGAAAAGGGGTTGGGGATAGGTTTATCTTATAAAAATTCAACTTTAACAATAGTCACTAGACTGCCGGCCATTTAGTATTTGATAAACCGTGACCGGCTGCCGGTCATATAGTCACTTCGTTCTTTGAAATGCCAGCTTTCCGAAAATATTTTAAATTCATTTTCAACGTGTTACGTAATAGGGCGAGCGATTAAGGTTGGGAACACCCCCCGACCCCGCCCAATTCTTTTATGTCATTATATTCCATCACAAACCTTCTTGGTAGACCACTGGACCAAGAACTTTCTATTGAATTGTTAATACAGTGATTTTAACTTTAACTACAGTATGGACATTTGTTTACAATAGAAGTTCAAGCATTGAATGAACTTGCGAACTCTTTTGCGAAGTTTACGCGTAATTTCCAAACTTGGAAACGTAATTGGCAAGTTTGCAACGAACTTGCGACCCGCGCGTTGAAGAGTACTTGAAATCGACAATGAACACTAAGACTCAGTTCCAAATTTTTAAAAACTTAAAATTTACCTAATGCAGAATTCCTACTGTGATCACAGAAACTTTGATAGTGTAAACCAGCCATTATTAACCACTTCATTTAATATAATTGTTTGTTCCAGGTATTCTCTGTCTCGGCTTCATTCGTGCCCAGGGTTCTCTCACGACTGACCGAAATCTTGACTGAAACTATTTATAAGTTATTCAAGGATGCCAAGGGAAAATATACCACTAACGGTATAATTCAGGTACATCAGAGAATTTAGTATTTAGCCTTCACTTATGAATATATTTCAACAGTTTTTGATTCGTCTAGGCTCGCCTAGAACTAAAAGCTCTTGGAGAAGCTCTACATAACTGGCTTACGGAGAAATCAAGGTATTATACACCCCAATGTTGTCGTTATGAAGTGCGAGATAAGTCAGAGGGTACACTCCCTCCTCCACTCCGTCCCCCAGAAAAACAGCTTTGATCAGTGTTTCCCATATAAATTTCTAAATATATGAACGGTACTTCACTGTAGAATTTCATTGGGACTGCAACTAAATTGGACTTTGAATAGTTCCAGCAGTTCTAAATGGGCAGTATAAGTATCTAACTGTGTTGGTTCAATATTACTGCAGAATGAAATCAGAGTTTCTGGAGAAACCTTCTGGTGTTTGGTCAAAGGCCTGTTTAGACTTGCAACTCTCCCCTGAGATCGTTTTGCACCACCCCTGATAGTTTTTGCACCTCCCCAGAAAAGTCATGCACCTCCCCTTGGGAAAGTTTCAATGATAGACCAAAGTGAAAATTTGACATTTTCGGTTGCTTAGGGTCTACACTTCATAAGACAGTTTTTCTGTAAAAATTGAAACAGAGATAGCCATTCATCTCTGTCTCAAGTACCCTTTTACTGTAATGCAATGTTTTGAAAGAAACCTTTTAGCAATGAAGGGCAAAATTGGATGAGTTGTACAGTCATAATTCATTAATACACTGATATATATGAACGCTACAGTACATGCATACGTCACGTCGTTGACTTTGGTCCGTTTTAAGCCCTAACTTTCCATGGGGGTCGTGAGCTAGACCGCTGCCCCTCGGTTACTCGATTGACTGATTGTGACACTGTGCTTTCCAGTTCTTTTCTAGAAAATTCATTTCGGTGTATTCCTGCCATAAGTAAGGACGAGCATCAAAAGTAAGAGATTAAATCACATATGCTATAGCCTATCGAAGGGAAGATGACTGTGAAACTCATTAGAATAACAATATAACTCATTATCTATGTTAGTCAACGTTTATTCATAAATCTGGTCGTTCACCGTCATTTGCGTATTGTATTTTTGCCAAATCCACCAATAGCAATTTCCAAATTCCAATTTACCCTATTGTTTGAGTCACGGATAGGTAACTTTCCTACAACATTGCTATTGGTCAGTTGGGCAAAAATGCAATACACACGTGACGGTGAAGGACCAAATTTATGAATAAACGTTGACTGACATAGATCATGAGTTATATTGTTATTCTAATGAGTTTCATAGCCATCTTCCCTTCGATAAACTATGCATATACCAATAATAGTTGTCAGTTTTGTTTATTTATTTATTTATTTATTCATCGCCCATTAAAATTACAATTACAATTATACAATTACAAATGACATGCATACAATAGAAATACAATATTGTACAAGTGACGAATGGTGGGGCACCGTTAGCCTGCGTGGCAGGCCCTTTACTGTGGGCCCTTGAAACATACGAATGTCTAGAAACAACAGTTGGTAACATTGTTCAAGACAAGAGTTACAATTTACACATACAAATTTCCATGTTCTTCCCAACTCTGCGTGCTTTTCTTTTGGACAATTAAAAGGTAATTGTGTACTAAGGCCTGTTTCAAATGTCGCACTTCTCGTGTGACGAATGCACTAGAAACAATAGATAATGTGGCATTTTTAATGCGTTCTGCAAATGAGAAGCGCGACGTTTGAAACAGGCCTAACAAGTTCAACCGTTCATTTGTAGGGAAATTGACAGACTCTTAGAGGAATTCAAGGCCAGAGCGAACTTTCAACTATTGTGTTTTGAAGAGAGCGACTGTTTGGACACGTGATAGAATTCAAGTTAGACCACTGCTGTAATTCTCCTGGATTTTTGAAAGGAACAACTGGGCCAGCCCTCAATGCCCCCTCTAGGTAAATTTTCAAAATTTGTACATAATTAATCATCTGAGAATATTTTCGTACTTGATAGAGTTATATAATGAACGATAAATGAAATGAATTTTTTTTATAAATCAAAGCAATTATGAATGTCCTCCATCTAAGCGGATCTAGATTTAAGAGGAATTATTATTATTGGACTTTAATTGAGTTATTTTGTCTGTGTTTCTACGCAATTATAGAAACAGTCGTGGTAGGTTGGTATACTCGAAATAACGTGGAAACACTCGCCGTTTGACCTTGTGTTTCCACTGATTATTTATCGTTCTCCCTCGTTATTACTCGTATTTCTGCAACTATATCAGAATACGGAAAATGTTTCATTTTTAGCGAAATATTGCATTTAGTTTATTGAATTTGACTTACAACATTTAGTATATTTAGACAATATAATTTGACAACATGCTGTTTCTTCCATCTCAACTATAGTCTTACTACAATAATCTTGAAACTTTGGAGAAGAGCATGCAAACCGTATTTTAGAAGGTTTTGTTTTACATCGGCAAATTTATATTTTATTATTGTTTCTTAATGATGTTAAATATGACGCTAAGGAAATCGTAGGCAATATTTGTTTCAGGCCACTCAAAAGGATACTGTTATTGCTAGGATACTGCTTTGCTTGGATGCATGCATGCAAAATTAACACAGACAAGGATTGTTGTTTTAAAAAAATTATTTCTAACACTTTTAGTCCAAGGGTGAGTTGACTACAAAATTTTTGTAGTTCGCTATAACTACAGCTACTTCAAAAATATGTAGTCAGCTACAACTACTGCTACTTTTGAACAAAGGTAGTTCGCTACTGACTACAGCTACTGCTTAAAAAATGTAGCGAACTATTTCGCTATTTCGCTACGCTATATTTTTTAGTTTTACTGTATTTGGAGCATCTACTAACTCAGGCTGAAATGTAACTTATAACAAATCGACTTACGAGTAGCAACAGTAAACACAAAGGAACATTTTTGTAAGCACTACAGTGTTCAAGAGTGCAATTTGACTATTGAGTATTGACTTTAAGCAAACCGTGTCTCAATATCATGCCATTCTATGAAGGTGCTAACAATTTTAAAAAGTAGCGAATAGCGATTCGCTGTATGAAAAGTAGTCGACTACTTGGCTACTCTTAGGCAAAATGTAGTTCGCTATAACTACAACTACTGTTTTAAAAAAGTAGTCAAAAAGTGCTGGCTACTTGAAAATTGTAGTTCGCTACAGTAGCGAACTACAACTATACTTCGCTACTACCCACCCTTGTTTTTTACATTGTTATACAGTAAAGTGCGGGAGTCTAGCCGAGTATAGATAGCTTAAATACAATAGCGGCGTTCTTGTTGTGATATAGGCCTCGATATAGGCTACTATCTAAAAGATAGATAAAAAGCTTCTTGACTTTTCGAGCGAAGGCCGTTTGTCATGGAGATTAGAAGCTACAAATCTCCTGAAGGTCTGGTCCACGGCCCTTGTCTTCAGCAAAATGCAAAATATTTCGTGCGAAATGAATTAGCCTTTCTCACGCCGCCATTTTTGGGTGGCATTTCAGCTAAAGTATGTGCGATAAGTCCACATAACAGCGACTTTTTATAATTTTTTGGACGAATGATGGTAAATTTGTTTTGTAAATGGTTAGTTTATCGCTTTTCCCATTGTTTTAATTGTCTGCATTGGAAAATGAAAATTTGATGCCACCCAAAAATGGCGGATATTCGTCATCGTGAGAAAGGCTAATTAGGTGCATTACGCAGTAAGGATAAATTGGGCTTCGCGAGAAAAAAATTCGCTTCACCAGGGAGTAGAAGTCAGTTCTACTCACTGCGAAAGCGGAAAAATTCACGGCCTATTGGAAGATTACTTTTTCTTTTTCCTTCCTCTTTATTTTTAATTAATATTTTTGTAAATAATCTGGTGAAATGGGACCGTTTTTATCAAGTCAAATAGAATCGCCCATGGCCTCTCTCCTCCGCAGAGGCTTTATATTACGATGAGATACATTTCACTACACTTTACATGGCGGATCTTGGAACACGAGCGTAGCCGCTGGGCGAAGGAGGCCCATGGCCATGTGCAACCACAATTTCTCGCGAAGAATTTCGCTGTCGTGGAATCGGGCTTTAACAAAGTGCTATCGCTCGAAACGTCGAGAAACTTTTCTGTCATTTAAGACCCATTTACACACGAATGAAAACGAGTGCTAATGTCACGTTATTGCTCATTCGCTAATGGCGAAATTTGAAATGTGACGTTTGTACGCGTGTTTATCGTATCGTAAGAATCGTATACGACTAATCGTACCGTGTAAATGGGCCTTTAGACAGTATATCTCTTTTAGAAACGTTAACTTTGAAACACTACGTGATGTTTGCAGAACTTAGATTTATTTGCAGACTGGAACTGTGTTAGAGTATAGTCTTACTATGATTGGTCCACTCAACGTCAGTACTGAACGCGTCAATCACGTTAATTGCCATTAAGAGGCAATTTTTTTCAGTGTCACGTATTTGCAATGAAAACTATTCAAAACCTAAAATCTTTTTGGCGTTCCTCTCAAAATTACTTTGTTATAGCTTCATTCTCTAGTTTATACAGTTAGCTATCTTTTTAAACGCATTTTCAGGTGGAGAAACATAAAATAATAGTTAAAAATTGTCAATGAAAATACAATGATCAAAGATGCTTTAAAATTGACGCCATATTTACAGCCATATGGCATATAAACAAAACTTACTGAACTTCAGACATCATTTTCTCTTTGGTGTATCATCTAAAATCTTTTCATTTTAGCATTATTTTACAGAT